GTTGCATCCTGTAGCTTAAATCCATTCTTTTCTGTCTGGCATACTGGATATTTATTATGTGAACAAAAAGAAGAGAAGCATTAACTACATATATAAAATAAAACAAAATAGAAATTAAAAAGGGTAGAAGAGAAAAAGTAAATGGTAAAATGAACAGGTAAAAAATGAAATTGATGAATATGAAACAAAAACATCAGTTCAGCAGATTAAACTATTTAACATGCGGAGTAGTTTTAATCAAACTTTGCATATTGTTGATTAAAAAAACCAGTTCATATATAGAAACACGTGAACATATATCTTCAGTCCCAGTTCAAATCTGGTATAGCAGGATCAGAAAAAAAAACCTTTCATTTTTTTCAGTTCCAGACTATACAAAATCCAGTTCTTCATTCTTTGATATGTTTAGTTTATATAATTTAACAACATATTCATATTTTTACCTCTGAATTCTCCTGGCACCATGTTGACAATTTTATGGATGATAAATCAAAGTCCCAAGATAGGAGTCAATATGTCCTTCATAATATTACACTTTGAACATTCAGAATTGAAAGCCAATTTTTCTTAAATATGTTTAGGTAATTGCGCCATAAGATGACAGGATACAAATTTAATGTTATTTAAAATTAATCATCCAATTTTTAAAATGGTATTCCAGTTCATTATGCAATACACATTGCAAGTTTTCCATTTTCTATTTCTATCTTGTTCATATATTTTCGTTGTCATAAAAAATTAATTGTGACTTTGGAAAACCTCAAATCTTTTCTAAGTACATTGTTAATTTCATGTTAAGAATTTAGAATATTTGTGTGTTGTTAATGTAACAGGTTGACACTGGATGCTTGAAAAAAAAAATAAATTTGAAACATTGCCATTCAGCAGTTATTTAAAAAATCTACTCAAAAATTCATATGTATTCTTAGATTCCTATTAACTTTCTTCACATCCTGGAATCTAAGTGTCTTACATACCTCTTACACTCAGATTCTTCAGCAGGAAGCCGTCACCTAATCAGCCATAGGCATCTTTTCAGAAAATGAGCTTATTACACTTGATGCTGTAGCACACGGTCTCTTGGAACACATTTTTTTGCTCTTTTATCCTTGGTGAACTGCTCTCACAAGCTTTTCATTTTTCCCACTTTCTTACTTTGGATATAATTATATGAAATGTTATTTAATTAATCACTATATGTCAGGGGTGTCAAACTCAATTTCACTGAGGGCCACATCAGCATTGCGGTTGCCCTTGGGGGGCTGGGTGGGTGTGGCCAGGGTGGGTGCGGCCTACTGGGTGGGCGTGGATGGAGTGGGTGTGGCCTACTGGGTGGGTGTGGCCAGCTCTATGTCATTCGCGTCAAGGGTGCCTTTGGGGGCCTGGGCAGGAGTGGGACAGATCTGAGGGTCTCTGACAGAAGGGGATGAGACTGGGGCAAGTGCCAAGTTGGCCACCACAAAATTGTACATTGGCTCCCGGCCGGCCAGGGCCAAGGCAGCAGGGGCCGTTCCCTCACTGTTTCCAGGATGGCTTCGCGGGCCACATGAAACCACTTCCCGGGCCGCATCCGGCCCCCGGGCCTTGTGTTTGACATGTCTGCTATATGTATATCCTACCTTTCTGCCTTGTTCAATGGGAATCCTGATCACACATAAACATGTTTCAAGCAAAATTAATTAAAAAGTTAAATCCCTATTAGCACAGTCCCTACCGCTACTCTAGTCTCCAATCAATTAGCTAGAAAGTAATACAGGGGAGTAGAAAATTTTTAATTATTTGTGTCAAATGGAAAATTGAAACAAAACAAAATTTACTAGCATTGAAATATCATGGAGAAAACCAATAATGTTCTGGAAATTGAGGGTGAAGTTCAGGTATGAAGGTAAGTAGTTAGATATAAATTTTGGTAAACTTCAGGAGTATATAAAAATGAACTGTATGCTTTGTAGAAATACAGTCAAGGTAATATAGAATAGAGTATTTAATTAGAGGATTAATACGGTATTTAATTTTTAAATATTCTAGAACAGAGGTCCCTAACCCCTGGGCTGTGGCCCACTGCCAGGCCTTGAGCCTTTCGGAACTGGGCCACACAAGTGGCGGGCACACGCATGCATCTCCATTTGTGTGAGCAGTGGGCGCATGTGCCCACCACTTGTGCAGAACCATTCCCTCTCCCTCCCCACTGGTCCAGAAAGGTTGGGGAAGTTTGGTCTAGAGCAGGGGTAGGCAACCTTGTCTTTTTTATAACTTGTGGACTTCAACTCCCAGAATTCCTGAGCCAGCTGGCTCAGGAATTCTGGGAGTTGAAGTCCACGAGTCATAAAAGAGACAAGGTTGCCTACCCCTGCTCTAGAGGGTACTTAAACAGCTGTGCTGGCACAGTGGTTAGAATGCAGTATTGCAGGCTAATTCTGTTGGCTGCCAGGAGTTCAGTTCTGACTGGTTCAATGTTGACTCTGTCTTCCATCTTTCCGAGGTTCGTAAGATGAAGACCCAGATTTTGGGGGGCAATGTGCTGACTCTGTATACCGCTTAGAGAGGCCAGTAAAACACTATGAAGTGGTATATAAGTCTAAGCAGTATTGCTATTGTTATTTTATCAGATTTGTATTTTTAATCTAGGTGGTTCTCTGAGGGATCAAGCAGGTTTATTATCCATCCTTTGTAGGGTACATAAACAAGATCAGTTACAACAGAGGATAAGGAAGGAAGATGCTTTGGCAATTACAGGTGTTGTACAAGATGAAAAATGCTATGATGACAAATCAAAATTGTATCTTAATCACAAAGAGGGATGCTAAATACTCAAAACACTAGAGTGATATTAAAGTCAGTAATGTCTAGACTGGAAAAGGGGGAGGGAAGGCTGTCTTTATCTATGCAGAATGTGCTTCTTCTCTCACTTTTTGTCCCTCAAAGTCTAGACAAGGGTGGGGAACCTGTGACCCTCCAGATGTTGCTGAACTGCAACTTTTAGCTTCCCTCCTGATGGCCAAGTTGACTGAGTGTATTGGAAATTAGACATCTGGAAGCTAAAGATACCCCACCCAGGCAAAGTTTGAGACTAATACACTTAATCTAGAATGGTGGAGAGAAAAGCCGCAGTTCTAAAAGCCCTGCCATGATCTTCAACTCTAATTGCTGGATGGAAAATATATGTATGTGCTGATATTTGTGCAGGTTTATGTTATAGAACCAACATTTCAGAATAATGAAAATCCGTAGTTAATACAATTGAGAATGATTGATCTTTACACAAAGCCGTGATTAATAGAATGAGGGAAACATTCTTCATTGGTGGTCCTTTATCATCCCATGACACTAGCCAAGAATAATTATTTTTCCAACTGTACATTTTAATGCTATATTTTAATTATATAATGAAGCAATGTTGGTACTTTTCTAAATAGCTACGAGCTGATCATAACATAAAGCATGCTACACTGAAAACTGAAATAACCCTTGGTGTGCCTGGGCAGAGTGATAATCTAAAAGGAATGCAGGAGTGTAATTGGAAAAATAGAAGAATAGTTTTATAAAAGTCCAATTTATTTCCCTTGTGTATTTCTGTAGTTACATTTTCTTTGCCCAGACCATTATTTTTCTGTTACCCCTTCCTCCTCTGTCCAAATTCTAACAAGGCCTTCCCTTTCCACTACACTTTTTGTGAAGTTTTCCACTTCTCAACAATAAAATTCAGACAATTTTTTAAAATAAATAAATGCCTGTTTAAAATTCTACTTGGCTATTATCCCAGTAATAATAACTCTGAATTATCCAACTGAAATATGTAATTTAAATTATAACCAAACAAATTGAATAACAATTTTGAAATATTTTTCAGAGATTAACTGATCAGAAACAATTTAATGGTCTCTTTTATCATGAATTTCCATTGTTTGGCCCTAGCATGCACTTAGATTATAATAGAAATTGCAACAGAGACTGAAATTTGTCATAGAAGATAAGTCTTTAGACACTTGCTATCCATAGCTTTGCGAAGTAGTTTTCCTAATCTCTCTTTTATTAAAGCTATGTATGATGAATAGGAAAGACATGTCTTTTACAGAAAGGCATAATGAAGCTCTTTTAAAAACATTATCTTTCAGAGAAATGCAAGGTTATGATCAGCTATTCTTTTGAAATAGTTTTAATGTATCTTTTCCAAACAAATCGTATTATGATTGTTTTAGCATATATCCAGCAGTAGTACATCAAGAATTCAGATTAATAAGCTGGAAAGAATTAGCTATTGTGATGTTATGATATGCGAGAGGAAATTTTCCCCCAAAGAATAAAATGTGTCTTTCCTCTCACTTCTTAAATATAATTCTGGATATTATTAGCATATTGTTGCAAAAGGATAACAGATCCATATAGGAAATAATTTTCCTAATATGCAAAGAGCTCTGTGCTGAATGAGTTACTTAAGTACTCTGTTATTAACAAAATATTGGACCATTAAAAGATAAAACCTTGTTTATCTTGGGTTGTTGTGCAGTATCACAACAAGGCCACTGGAGCTAAGCTGCTTTAGTCAAACAAAAGGATTTCCCCAAAGAACTGTTAAGTGTTGTAATTTCATTGTACTAGTGTAATTATTATTGCTCTAATTAAATTGATTAGGAATCACCATAATGCCTAAATGTATTTTGCATGTACTTAAGCTACACCTTCAGTTTTACATTTGGTTATCAAAAATGTAATTATTTATCTGTCTTAATCATGGATCCAACATTATCAGATGTTACCAAATTCCAAGAGTTGCTGGAAAGTAGACTATGAAATATGGCACTTGTGCTATTTCTGATGTGGCCCATATTGAGTTTAAAAGTTCTTCCTTCATGAATTAGCCTTGGAAGTTTTCACTGATCACTTGATATTCTGCAGCAGGTATAGAATTTTCAGGTTTAGGTTTGGAATTGGCTGCTATTTGCTTAAAATTGAAATTTTGAATGACGTTCATACATCTCTTCTGTCCGTTCTTTCCAAAGAATGTCCAGAGTGGTGGGGCTTGGACTGCAGACAGAATATGTCTCTAACTGCTAAGTGCTCTTGCTGCTGCTCCATGAAAACTCTTGTTGCTCCAGTTGACCTCAGGCAACTATCGGAAAAAATCCTGCAAGGGCAGCCTCTCTTGATCAAGGTAACTTAATAGTATGGGGGGACCTGGCAAATGTTGGCAAACCTCTTGACATATGAAAAGACTTTTAATAAAAGCAATGTCATCCTTTTCTCATCAGACAAGACAGCATCGTTCTTATGCTGAAATGAAACATTTTCAGTCTCTCTACCCCGAATTGACAAATTTTGTGATACAAGAGGAGGCAGCTGAGTTATGGAGCAGCCCTTCCAAGCAGCAACCTCCATTTTCTGTTTTCTGGTGAGTTTGAGCTGTTAGAGGTCCCCTGCCTCGCTAGAATTATCTCAACAGTAGCCCCAGCTGACAATCAGTGACATAACTAGGAGCAGAGATGAGGTGCAGGACTAGAAAAGAAATACAGTTGCTATCCCCATAATTTTCTTTTTTATTCTTTGAATTTTTTTTTATTGAAGTGGAGAAATGGTCCTGTCAATATGTTGATTTTTTTTAAAAAGGGAATTGAATCACATACCCTGTTTCCCTGAAAGTAAGGCCTACCCCCAAAATAAGCCCTAGTTTTGGGGCGAGGAACATACTTAAAAATCAAGCTAGGGTGGGGGTGGAGGTGTGGAGTTGCTCCATGTGCCCCACACTCACTTACCTTGCAGCCAGGTCTCCTCGCCAGCCCACTTCTTCTGCAGCGTCTTCTGCAGCCGGGCCTGCATTTTGCAATTACAGAGCTTTCTGGAAGGCTTCTGCAGCTGAGAACCGAGCTATGGATTCAATCCATTGAATCCATAGCTCAGTACTCGGCTGCATATGCCTTTTGGAAAGACCTGACTGCAAAATGCAGGCTGGAATGCATCTGCAGAATGAAGCTGCTTCGGCCAGAAGAAGTGGACCAACTGGGCAGAGCTGTCAATACTGAAGTTGAGTATAAAAGACAACCCCTGAAAATAAGACCTGGTGACTCTTTTGGAGGCAAAAAAAAAAAAAATAAGACCCAGTCTTATTTTCGAGGAAACATGGGTACCAGTACCCGTGCTTCCCCAAAAATAAGCTCGGGTCTTAAATTTATTTTTGGTCCAAAAGACCCATTAGGGGTTATTTTAGGGGGATGTTTTATTTTTTTTATCATAAGGCCCAGCCCAGCTGGCACCCCCCTCCGCTGCTGAAGAGTTTAGCTGAGCTGCAAAGTTGAACGCATGTTGCAAAACAATGGTGTGCCCCGAGTGAGGAAGTGTGAACTTTGAGGGGATGAGTATCTGTATTTCCATGGCTCATGCACAGAATTCACACCGCGCCTTCCCATTGGCGTTCAAGGAGGCTAATTGTGGTAAATACAAATCATTTTTTTGAAAAATAAAGGGATAGACTACAATATTGATGATGAATGTAAATGAAAAGGCAGTTTCCAAAGCCTTCCTCCTGCCACCGAGGGAAACCTGAGTCACCTCCCAGAATGGGACGTCTCGGGATGCCCAGCTTTCTTTCCCATCCTTCTGCAGAGGAAGAGAAAGCCGGAAAAGCCTGTGGGGCAGAGCAAGGCCACCTCTGGAGGCTGCTTCGGGGTGAGGATAAAAGAGGAGAAGCTGATGGTTGAGCCCCATCAGTCCCCACCCCCACCTGCCCACTGGATCCCCCAGTCCAGGGCAGGGATAGAAAAGGGGCAGCCTCTGCTTCCTCCAGCCCTGGCTCTCTTAACTTTCAGGCCACCTCACAGCGGCAGCATCGGCAGCAGGCAAGGTGGGGGGGGGAGGCATGCAATCCGACCTGCCAAAAACCAATGGTGGGACGGAGTGGGTGGGGTCTTAAGTAGGGCTTATTTTTGGGATAGGGCTTATATTAGGCCCAACCCCCAAAATCAAGCTAGGTCTTATTTTTGGGGTAGGTCTTATTTTCGGGAAACACGGTAGTAGGCTATGAAACTCAACAAAATGATTGTTTCCTCTTATTCTGGAAAATGTCATACTTTAGAGGCTATACTAAGCCTATGTGGTTGCTCACCCCAATTTTTCAGAAAACAACAAAAAAATCTTGAAAAAGTAAAAGGATTTTTCCTTCTCTGAATTTCTATTTCCTGCCCTAGGTTTTTACATCTTTAATCTGCTCTTGAGTGAATTTATTTTATTGTTTCCATTCTATCAAGTGTCCCTTTATCTAGTTTATTGACCCAAAGATGGAATTTTCATTTTTTTTTCTGGTTGTGGAAACTCTTAATTTTTTTTAAAAAAAGTTGTAGAACCCCAATCAAAAATCAAAGCTCTACTGATAAAAGATAGATTGCATTCAAATGACCTTTTTTCCCTCTTAATTTCTCCTGGAGTCCCATCAAGTTCTTGCAGGATCCTAAGTTCCACTGAACACAGTTGAAAAGCCTTTTGCAAACCTGTTGTTTGTTTGGAAGTTCAATTCAATGTTAAATTCCTTGTTACCTTGCACACCAGGTTTTTCCCTTCATATTTTGGAGTCTTCCAGTTGACGTGTTCTCTGGCAATAGGTTGGAAGAACGTGATGTTTTGCATAAATATTGCATGACCGCAGTGGCTGATGTTTTGAGTCATATTTGGGCATTCCCTATTTATGAAATACGGTGTTCCCTATCATCCAGTGCTGTATTTTTAATGAACTTAACGATGGACAGTTTGGGTGCACAGTATCTCACTATGAATCATGACAAGTCTCCACACTGGGATTTCTCATGTTTCCCTGCCCTCCATTTTCCTAGAATGATGACTAAGTTAGGATTCCCAAAGCCTTTCCCATGTGGCTTTAGTTAATGCTGGACTAGGTGACGCCTTTCTTTGTTTTACTTCTTCAGCATTTAATTTTATAATAAGCCTAAGGTTTTTTCCCTCCCTCAGACAGAAACTTTAAGATTATATCTGATCTTAGATAATACCAGTCTCTTGATTCCCTGCCTATATTATTTTCTTGGACAATATATATTATCTAAAGTTAGCTAAACAAGGTCCACTTTCTAATCCAAATGCTCATACCCACACATTGATATCTGATTTGTGTGTGACTTATGTGTGATTTTCGTGTCATATATGTTACATTAAGTCAGATATAGCCATTTAGGATGGCAAACAATGACTGTTTTGAAGTGCTTTAGGGCTCAGTAGCAATGCCTTTGTGAGGTACCTGCTTTCTTTCTTATTCTCTAAAATGTTCCATAGGCAAAACCCTCAGAATAAATCTCAGATTCTGCAAGAAATTTTTCCCATCTTTTCTTCGCTGCTGTTTCCAAAGGACATTTCTCTAAAAAGCTGTTTCTTAATCCACCATCCACGACTTCAAGATAAGGTTGGTGTGTTTAATGTTAAAATATTTCTGCACTTCTTTTTATGCTTAGTTTCACATCAGGAACCTTAGGCTAAAAAAGAATGGTTTTTAAAAAGCATTTGTATTCTGTATTTATGTTTAAAAGGCTCTGATTATGCTTTACGTAGTAGCAAAACTAGAAGGTCTCATGCCCTCAGATTAAGAATCAAAAAAAGATATGAGGTAGAAAGATAAGGAGAGAAAAGGGAGACATGTTCTCAGTGCTAACATTATTCTAAAAGGGTTGATGGGGAAGGAAATGGCTGCCCAGAGAGGGGCAGAAGACATTGTCACCTTCAGGGCAGATAGTTCTATTCTTCTTTCTCACAGAACTGTTATTTATTTTGTTTTCTGTGAGGAGAGAGGAAAAGTCTTTAGTCCAGTTGGTTATAGCAATAGGAAGAAGGAGATTCCAATGCTGGGCTGCTCTTTTTTCTTATAAGGCAAATGGTTAAAACAAACAAACATAACTGAAACCCAATAAATAGCCAGCTCTTCGAGACAGGTGGAATGTTGCTGACCATTTGTTGCTGCTATTCAAACCTATAAGTAATGGTGTGACAAATTTGGTGTGTATTGCCACATGCATACAGAAAAGGAATGGTGTTCTAATTGCAACATTGTACCTTCCATCTTGCAGATTTTGCTGTGCCAACATCACTGGGTAGATCTGCTTGGTTGACAAGATCCTTGAGAGATGGTTATGGGGATCTACTTTTTTTTGGCTCTGGTTTGATGTTGCAGAGGAGCTCTACACTAGAAACCATTATCTATGTCTTCAATTTCTCTGAATTCAATTTTATGTTTTCTTTCTTTCCAGTAAAACTATGAAAGGTTCTGGGAGATAATAAAATAAACAGTCCTTTTTTTATTTTTCAGACATACAGACTGCAGAACACCTTTGTGGTAGGAAGTGGTCAGCTCAACTTATATGTTATTCCGTCTCTCTTGTGCAGAGAACACTGCAAGACATTGATGGTAGAGCTAGAAGCTGGAGATATTGGTGAGAATTGATACAACAATAGGAGCTTATCCTACAAACGGCAAATGTAGCTGTAACTGTTGTAACTGTTACTGCTGGAAAAAAAAGCAAGCGATGGCTTGTAGCTCATGACATTTTGCCCTGCTAAATGCTTTAAGCTTTATAATGCAGTAACAGAGAAAATATATTCCACACCCTATCTGTTGGGAAAAACAATGAACTCTGTATACACTATGTGGTCTTCTAAATTGGCTTTCTACCCTAGAAAACTGCATTTGGCATTATAGGAAGTTTGTGTTGAGTCTGTTGCACCAGCCAAAAGTCAAAGTGCTGTTTATGGGAAGGCTACAATATAGTAAATAATATTGCTTCATTGCTGTACAAGGCTGGGCCAGACCAAACTTGATTGATCACTGCAGTTCAAAGAAGAGAATGTATAACTGCTTATGTATAAACATATTGAAATATAGCAAAAGTCAGGTAGCAAAGGGTGGTGGGCAATCTTTTCAGGCAACGGCCATTTTTAAAAAATTACATGAACTTTTATCCTCAAAATCTCATACAAGAATGTTGGGGTCTCACAGGTTTTGGGCCATTTGGGGCTGAGTTGTGGTAAACTCATGCTCTCTAGAGGTTTCATGAATGTACTAGTGTTTGTAGAATTTTGAAGTGGACTCTTGAGATTATTAGGTCTGTTTTATGAAAGCCACTTAATGAAATTGTTCCTACGAAAACATATGCTGAAGTAATTTTTTTATACTTCCAAAGAAATCTTGTTGAAGCCTTAACAAACTGATTATCTCTAAGTTGTGTCCTATTGTTAAGACCAGAACATATATATGGATAATTTACTGTTATATAAAATATTGGTGGGTTTAGGACCACTAAGCATGGCCAGCTCACCACTACCAGTTGCCTCCGCCAACTCATTGCAGGACAACTCAGCTAATTCGCCATGGGGACAACTGGCAGGCAGCTGAAGAGAGAGCTGAATGGGTGGGTGGAGATCAGAGGAGCAGTGGCCAGGAGCTTCCCACCAGAGGGAGAGCTGGGAGGGTAAGTGAGCAGGGGACAGAGTGCAGAATGGCAGTGGCAATGGCCGGAGGCTTCCCATTTTCACACCGTCTGCTGCTGCCATGAGTTACGGGTCTTTTAGAGTTTGGGGTGTTTGGCAGTGGCAGCGGTGTTCAGGTCGTTAGTGGTGGTGGGTGGGGTGAGTGGTGGAGAGGCGTTGGAGGCCAGGTAATGTCCCATTTTCACATCCCCCACTGCACTGCTGCCGAACAGCCTGTGGCAGTGGGGTGTGTGAAAATGGGATGTGCCTGACCTCCATCACCTCCTGGCTACCCACCACCACCAAATGGCCAGAACACCGCTGCCGCTGCCAAACACCCCAAACTCTGAATGGCCTGGATCTTGACTCAGCGGCAACAGGATGTATGTGTAAATGGGAAGCTCCCAGCCATCACTGCTCTGTGGTCTGCCCACCTGCTTGCTTGCCCAGCCGCCTGGCTCTCCCTCTGGTCGGAAGCTCCCTGCTGTTGCCAGCGGTCTCCACTCTCTGCACAGTCACTTGCTTACCTGCCCAGCTCTCCCTTCAGCTGCCTGCAGCGAGTTGTCCCCACGCTGAACTGGCCATGATGAGTTGTCCCATGGATACTGGCAAGAAAGCTTGTTGAAATACTTGCATACCATAGAAATAGAGTGAAGGGATGTTTCAGGGCATCATCACCTCCAATAGCATACAATAATAAATCATAATAAACTAGTGTTATTGTTTTTCTTCCAAAGGTTTTACAAATGTAGATTATTGGACAACAAATTTTAACTCCAGAGGATCTGAACCCGTTGTTGTTTGTGATGGATCTGCCAGTTGAAAACTCAATGTGTAAGACCTCAATATCACAAAAGATTCGGGGATGATACCACTACAGTTTCCAGAGATAAGTTTTCGCTTCTGATCTGCAGTGAAGAAAGCTGTGCACTTTTAAAAGAACATTTTATTCAAGGTCACTGGCTTGCCTTTCAGATGTTTTGGTAGAAACTGGAAGATCTCTTCTCTAGCTTTTTGTAGAATTATTCTTGAAAACCGACTGATGGATTTTGTGGGGGGGGGAAAGGTCTGTGAATACTCTTTGTGAATATTGTTCTTTTTGACACTGTAGAAGGAGTCGTCTCAAAATACTTCTTTCCAGACATGCTGGAAGAGGTAACGTCAGAGCTGCTGATGAATGTGTCTCTGGATCATTGCTTTAAAAGAGCAAACTACTGAAATATTGGGTAGGCTGAGAAATTAAAAATGTCTCTTGAGAAAAGCATTTGCTCAGGTTCTTATCCTATGTTATAGTTTGAATGCAGGAATTTGGTCCACAGCCGCATTTTTCTTTCTTTCACTGTATTACGATGACGCATCTTCAGAATATTCTTTCCAGTAAAAAAAAATCGTCTTTCCACTTAAGAACACAGCGTGACTTTATGTAGTCATCTCATCACCAAAACTGTGTGGCTAAGTTGGGGTTTGTATACTTGACAGAGAAAAGCATCCTGCAAATATATTTTTCTTTCTCTTTTCATAAATACTTTTCCCTGGACTAAGTCAGTAGAATGCCAAATCCATTTCCCCCCCAAAATGAGTAATAAGAACCAAATTTGTTAGAGCAATGACTTGGTGAGAATGGTGAGCATCCTCTTCTGAAAATTAAGCCTTTGGAGAGGGTCTGAGTTGGACATTCCAAATTAGTCATCATTTTAATTTGTTATCATGGTTGAATTGATCTTGGGAAAGCATATCTTGAAAACATTTTCTAAAATTTTGGTTTGAATGTCTCCAGATCTTTTAAAATCGAGGTGGATATTTGTGGGGAGAGTTGCAGTGTGCAGTGTTTAATGTGTGCCATGAATATGCTTGCCATTCTCTACAAGCTTTAATTGTGTTTCCTCTTTCATTAGCATTGTCAGTGTTTGATTCTTGATTGCCTTCCCAGGTTTTTGTATTTCCTCATGGTTCTTGTGAGCTCATCTATCTAATATCTTTAGAAGGGATTATTTTCTAGCACTGAAATTGTAGAGGTGTTTCCCTTGAGCGAATCTTTAGGTTCCTGTTGTGCTAAGACAATTTGCAGATGTGTCAGGCTGAAGCCAGGCCAGCAGTGAGGCTAGTGCGCATATTTGTACAAGTTTATATGCTTTGGGGGATTCTTTTATTAAAATGTAATAAAATTGCATTAATTTGTAAAGAAAACAGTTTTAAAGAATGGACTAGAATAATATCTTTGTTTTTAAAATATTTTGGTTAATTATTAATTGTTCAGCAGAGTAACAGTTAAAGGAGCCTGTCAGAATCACAATCCCGTTCTCATGGCATAGTGCAAATAGACGAATTTGTTTATTTCCTTCTGTTTCTGACTGGAAACATGCATAACTAATTGGGATATTGAGGAACTAAATTATGACAATGAAATTAGTCTTATGGATGTTTAAAGGATTTGTGAATAAATAAATGATAGGACTATGAAATTTAGAAGGTGGGAACTAAATCTTCATCACTGAAGTTTAACTGCATGCTAAGTGTTTTCACCTTTTTTTAAAACAAATTTCACACATAATGTCACTTTAGGTTTGTATAGAAAAAAGAAACTTTTGTAATCTGGGCTAAGTATTTTAGTAAAGGGGTGTGGGTGTGTGTGTGTGCGCGTGTGCGTGTACACAATGATAGCTAGAGAAGTGGCAAATATGTTGTTTGGTTTTTCATTAATATTTTCTATATCATTTTATATGAGAAGAAACCCCATTAAGTTTAATGGCACTTGTTTCTCAGAAGGCATGTATAGATAAAAAACCTCACTGTATATAAATATCCTAAGTGGAATTTCTTATTTGATATCTCTATAATCTGGGTGGTTTTTTTTTTAATGAAAAAGCTAGAAGGTTTTTAAATTCTTTTTCATTCATTCTTTTACCAAGGTTAAACACAGATCCATCTCTCCAGAGAATACTGCTCACTTTGAACTGCATGTTGGTCATATTTTTAATTTTTATAAAAATAATTTAAAAGAAAAAAAATCCAAAGCATTTCAGATGACAAAGACCACTTAACTCTACAAAGTTATGGAAAGTTGTTTCTGCTTTGGTAGTAAAATATGTATATTTAAAAGATTTATGTCAGTGATACTCACTGTTTAATAATATGCTGGAAGGCAGGAAATTGATGTCAGTCTAAGGATCTCTGGATAACAATTTTTAAAAGTACAAATATTTCCATAGGATGGCTTGTGTTTTTTTTCTTTCTCAAATACAAACTGGGATATTGTTAGCATGTTGGACAGGGAATAATGTATCTATCCTACTTTTGGACTCTGGTTTTCCATGTGTACTTTTGTCTTTGAGTTGGCTTCGAGGTCTGGGTTTAGGAGGTGCTGTGCGTATGTCCAAGTCTTATTCCCTCTGGAGTTTACATCATTTGTTTTCAAACTTCCAGTACATTTTCTCCTCCTTTTCTACAAGCTGCAAGGAATTAAAAGCAGAAGTAATTGCTCAAGAGGAATCCAAGATCCAAGTTCTTGCTTTTTAGCTGATTAAGAGCATTTACTTCGATAAGATCCTCAGTTGTTTCATTTGGAATGCATACTACTATTGGAAGGCACCAGGCAGGCGAAGACTGTTTCAGAGCATATGGCAATGAATGAATATATATATTCATTGTTGCTATGTTTTCAGCACTTTTGCCACCCTGTTGCATGACATTAATAGTTTTTTGGTTGGTTTTTTTTTTTTTTTGGCAGAAAATGCTTTAGATTTCCTGTCCGATATTCACTGTATATGTTGGTCAATCTGTTCTTTGCTTGTTTGGAGAAACAGCCTAGCTGCTCTGTTCTGCTGCGGCGCATATAAAGCTTACATTACATCCTGTAGGCACAGTCCTAAACTAGCATTGGTAGTTTGTTTCTCAGTTCTCAGGCCAAGATGCAGACTTTGTTTGCTAGATACATAGCAATGAGCGAAATATTTGTCTTTGGGCAAACTGCATTGAATTGATAAACTGAAATGATATAATGAGCAGCGTTCATTGAAGCTTGCCCTGTTGTCTAAACCACTCACATCTGTGGATACTTGGTGTTCAGATCACTGCAGTTTTCTTCCTAGATTTCAGTTTTTAAACCCCAGGATTGAAGTATAACGAATGCAAACAACCTTCATAAAAATTTTTAAACAATTTCAGGGAAATTCAGAAGGTTTCTGTTGCACACAGTAGAAATTCCAGATGGCCCTTAACTCTTGACTAGTCTTCCCCCCCCCCCAAAAGCTATGTACGACCCATTTTTGAAGTCACAATGGCTGCATGCATAGACACTCTGCGGTCACATGATTGCCTGTTGAGCACTTGGCAGCTGAGTTACCTTTACAGCCACTTGTAGCATCCCATGGTCATGTGACCACAATTTGCTATAAGTTTTTTTTTTTTGCTGGTTTTTGGCTTTTATTTCCAGTTTCTGGCAAAAGCCACCTGTTGGGGAAAATTGATTCACTTAACGACTACTGCGTTTGCTTAATGAGTGCCATAAAAATGTCAAAAAATTTGGTCCAGTCATGTTCATGCTTTGATTTACGATCTCAATTACTTATATCCATAATTCCAGGCTTATTTATACTCTTAAGTTGAGGACTATCTGTAATTATTCATATTTATAGGAGAGTTGGGTGTTTGAAAATAATGGCCATTTTTAGATCTATAACTTTGGCAAAGCTTATGGTAAGTTAGGGGTGCATAGTGGGCCTTTCTGAAGCCACTGTTTGCCTACAAAGAAAATCTTCACTGAAAATTCAGCTACCTTTGAATGGAAGGCATTTATATGTTAGAATATTTCTCTGTTTTTCTTTGTTTCATTTATTAGGGAAATGTATAGCTTGACAAAGCCTGGAAGGGATAACTTTTTAAAGAAACAAAATTATCTGTTCTTTAACTGACTAAGGGAAATACTTAAGTTTTTTTGTTTTAAAGTGTGTTTTAATATTATTTGTCCATGCACAGAATAGCGATAATGTGTCTCATTGCTATATAGTATATTATAAAGGCTAGTTAATTGTGTGTGTATATTGAATACCCATAGAGTCCAAATTATGGAACTTTTCACATAAATGAATGTAAATATGCAATACATGCAGAGTTTTATGAACAGTTATAGTAATATATTGCAACTTTTTGTAAATATTGGGAAATAGTTGTAAAGAGTGTAAATAAATCAGATTTATATGTTGAAAGTAGAGGTCAAGTTTTACTTTTTGCAATTAAATATAATTGTTGATGCACTTTGCCCCATATGGCTTTTTTCCTTTGTTAAATAAATAATGTTCTATCAAAAGCCTCTGTGTATGTACGCTGTATCATGAAGTATTTAAACTGACATGGGGAAGTATGTTTTAGCAATATGCCATCTGCCAAGAAGGGAAAAAACAACTTAATTGCCAAAGAAATATGCTTATAGTATACTCCCAGACAGTCACAACTTATATATAGGTTGTTTGGTTGCCTAATTTTGACTACAACATGTGTGACTCTGGGATTTTTTGAATAAAGAGGAGGTTAGAAAAAGGAGGAAGAGCACCTATTATGGACTTCTGGATGTGAAGAATATTTCCTGGAAAAATGTGGTTTCCAAAACATGGGTGTCTTTGGGGAAGATATTTTGGAAATAGAAGCCAGATACCATCCATCTTGGCATCACTGACATTTTTATGCAAGATTTAGAGATAATGAGAAGAAATCAATGTATATCAACTAAGCTATTTATTTTGCTCACCTCTTGAAATATACAGTATAAGGTAAAATAGTATTGGACTCCTAGCAAATTTTAAAGTATAAAATATAATGTTTTCAGATGCTACTGAAAAATGAGGCCCTAATTTTATAAGTCTTTATAAATTTAAAGTCACATTGAGCTTTTACCTGAGAAACTATGAGGATTCAATGCAAACTTTGAAACAATAGTGTATCCTTTTGTTGATGTGCCACAAGGCAAGAGAGTACATTATTACATTTAGTTCCAATTAAGATTTCTAATCATCAAAGTGATCTCTTGTGATAGTGATTATGCTAATCTAAACACAAAAGTTGTGCATTATTATCATCATTAGATATGAATTGAGCACACATGAATACTGTACAACCTTTTCCCACATGGAACAAGTGAACTTCATTGTAGCCTGAATTTTCAGTGCACACGATTAAATTCATATTATGAAGATGAACTAACATATTTTGTAAGCATCACTAAAATGGGTAAGGCTAAATACATGGAAACATCGGTGTGCATTCACTTCCTAATCAATGAAGATTAAATTCTGCCCTCTTCCTGCTTCCAAATCTGAAGAAACATCTGTCACTATGTACAGTACTAAAATGTTGATCTTCATTAGAAGTATAGTTCAATATGAAATGTCCTGCTTTCCAGGTTTCAGATAAAATGTGTAGGACTTGGGGTATGAGAAAATTTCATGGAGAGATAAAGCCAGTATTGTTCACCCTTTCCACACTTTTCTGGAGACACTCTGTTTTGGTAACCAGAATACTATGAGCCACGTGTGCATGAAATTCTATCTCATTTATTTGGAAGCAATCTAATGACGATATTTGGGATATTCCCTGATTGAAAGAGAGATTGGAAGGTTTTCTAATGAATAGGGTGTGTAGAACTATGCCTGTATTATATTTCATGCTTCTACATTATGTGTAGAAACATTGCAATTTTGATACTTTAGTAAGATCTGTTTTTATATATGTGGAATAATATTTTACAGCAGAGTTCAAAGAATATTAATCTTTAGTCAAGTGAATAATTTTATCACTTGGCCATGTTAATCTAAAACTATACAAAAGGGTCAAGTGATATGTTGGATAAAATTGCCATGCACGTGATGAGGCCGCAGCTGCCTGTTGTGGTTCTTGGCACTCTTTTAAAATACCTGGCTTGAATTGTCATTTTCTAGGATATTCTGAAACAATTGCATTACTACTCTGAGCCAGCAGAATATTCATATGTTCCTAATATTTTTTTATGTATAGGAATAAGGGCTTCATTGAAAGTCTGCCATCTTGGATCAAAACTTAAAGCACATGTGGCTATTATGTAGATATACTTTCTACAGATGTAATAAGTGTATTCTAGTCTGTCAGTATGTTCAGGGTTAAAGCATTTAATAATATGAGACAAATTCTTTATGCATTCATTTTAAGATTTGTTTTTAGGCCCTATAAAGCAGGGGTTTTCAACCAGTGGTAGGGGTACCACCTGTGGTACATTGGCACCTGGCAGGTGGTACACGAGCATCCTAGAAAACTGGTAGCGGGGGAGGGGAATGAGCTGAACCGGTGGCAGCACCACACAAGCCTGACTGAGAGATGACTGGAGCTGCAGGGCTGTCAGGGCTCAGTGGAAGCGCCAGGATCAGCACCAGGCTCTAGCTGGAGCTCGGCGCTGATCCTGATGCTTCCGCTGAGCCCAGAAGAAGCGCCGATCAGCTGGAATGTTGCAGCATCTCCAGGGTCTTGTGATTTACATTCAGGTGCTTGGCAATTGATTCATATTTATGATGGTCACAGTGTCCCAGGGTCATGTGAAGTGACCAAAACCTGCTGCAACCACCCAGCAGATGGGAGGAATAAAAACCAAACACCCCCCACCCCATCCCCACTGCCAATCCTCAACAGAAATGCTCACAACAATGAAAATCTTGGACAGGAGGAAGAGCACCACCGGGTGAGGAGGCAAGTGTCTTGCTCGGCTGTGGCTTGGGGAGCACTTTTTTCAGTGCTATTGTAACTTTGAACAGTCACTAAGCAAACTGTTGTAAGTCGAGGACTACCTCTACTTTTATCACTTTTTTCCTTTTTTTTTTGGTCAAGTTTTTTTTTTTTATTGAAAGTTTTATAAATTTTACAAAAAAACAAAAACAATACAAAACAAAAGACAACATTACATATATATATATATAAAAAAAAACCCATCCCCCACCCCTCACAAAAACCCTCCCTTCCCCCCCCTGAGCTTCCCAGAGCAGAATATAGGCTTAATTAAAAATTAAGAAATAAAAATAAAAAATTAAATTAAAAAATTTATATTTATATATATATAAAAAAATATCTATATATATATATATATATAAATAAAACTTATAAAAAAGCTATGTGATATTTTTGTATACCCAACCTAAATTGCATAAATTTTATCCATTTGTCCCAAACAGCAAGGAACTTCTCTTGCGTTTGTTGCTTTAAGAAAGCCGAAATCTTTGCCATTTCCGCCAGATAAGCTACTTTAAGAAACCATTCCTGCAATGTAGGCAAAGATTCCTTCTTCCAATATTGTTTTGGTCAAGTTTTTGACACCTTGCTAGGTGACTGGTGGTACTCGGATATTGCCATATCCTAAAAGTGGTACAGTGGGTGAAAAGGTTGAAAAGCCCTGGTTTAGATGCCTTGATGGACGTGGTCTGTGCACGTAAAAAGCTGCTAAGATGTGAATGATCCAGAAAGGCTTTGGGAATAGATAGTAAGGTGGATCCTCTCCCTGCTATAAGTGATTATTGTTGCTAGGACTATTTTCTTTGAAGTGTCAGTAGTTATCTAATGTATGTATGTTTTTATTATTTATATTTTGCCTTTATTTTGCTCACAAAGATAAATGTTAAATAGTTGAAAGTTTTGAAAACAGAACTTTAATGAAAGATCAGAAAATACAACAAAAGTATTTCACAAATACTTTCAGGTCCTAAGACATTGTTGGAAAGTCAGAACAAGTAGGAGACATGACAGCACCCCACATGAAGAGAATTTGACAACTATAGAGCCAGTAAGGATTATCTAAACTCATTTCAGCTCAGATTCAGGTCTGAAATTGGGATGGAAGCCACATTGGTTACTTTTGTGGATAACTGGTGAGCCCAAGAAAGAAGGGAAGCCATTCCTCTGGTGTTAAGTGGAGATTTGGGTGTCTTCCAGACCATCCATCTTGGTATTGTTCTGGGCTATAGAGTTCTCTTTGGAGTTCTGGGCTAGTTAGGGTCTATTGCTTTAGTATTGCAATGAGTCTTCTTTATGTGTGGTGTCAACTGTCCCATTTGGCACATTCAACAAAAGAAACTCTCAGCTCTTCAGATTGACCAAGAGTATAGCTTTATTGAAAAATCCATCTAGGCACAGCAGAAACAAAGTCAGTTCTGGGATTTACCTGTGAAAACCCACATAGGTAAAACCCCTTTTGCCCCTCTGGGCCATCTACAGTTCATAGTTCAACAAATGGGTTCAGTTCTTTTGTTTTGGGAAAAGACTGTCTGTGCCACTCAAACATTTCACAACTTGGTGGCTAACATCTTGCTGGCAACAGAAGGCACTCTTGCTTTCCCAGAACTTCCCTCCCTCCCTACTTAGGAATTTGCCCACCCCCCTTCCCTTGCTCTTTAGTGAACTGTGAGCGACAACAGATGCAACTATGGAGTTGAGTCAGGTTTGACATGTGGCCAGTTTCAGTCATTTGGAGGGGGAAGAAATATCAAGTTGTTGGGTGCTCCATCATGGTATACTGTATTGGTCCTTCCTTTTATTCTGCCTCTGTGAAGGCATTGGTGGAGGTATCCTCAATATCCTGATGAAAACCCATTATTCAGAGTCACCTTGGGCCAGGCAAGAGATGCCATTGTTCCTGTCTTATTGTTTGGAGATTAGAGCAGCATATAAATCAGGGGTCTCCGCCCTTTTTGGATTGGCGGCCTGGTGGAAGATGGAGGGGCAGGTGCCTTACATGCACATGCGCAAACATGAATGTGGCCACACATGCACGTGCATACAAACAGGCTGTGAGCATGCGCACCACACAAATGGGGCTGTGAACATGTGTGCAAGGCTCTCAGTGACGGCGGCGCCTGTGTGAGGCTTGTGGCACCACTGCCAGGCTGGCGGTGATGCTACCACCAGCACGAGGCTTGCACCATGGCCCGCAGTGATGCCGCCCAGCGCGAGGATCGTGCCGCCACCCCAACACCGCTGCCTGCGCAATACTAGCAGCGCTGCCACCACCCGCACAACACTCGCGGCAACGACAACGCATGTTTACTGCCCAGCTACTCAGGCGACTTGGCGGCCAAGAGGCCACGGCCCGGTACTGGGCCACGGCCCATAGGTTGGGGACCTCTCATCTAGATGAATGAACAAGCCTGTCTGCCAAAGATTAGGAATTTGAATTGTGCTTAATAAACCAGATTTTCCTATAGAAATATCAAACTCTATGTAAATCTGTAGTTTGAAGCTTATGTAGAGAAAGCAGCTTAACATGCAAGTTACATATGGTGCATTAAATCACAGTTTGAC